CTAACCGCAGAACAAAACCCAAAAAGGTTGCACATAACAAACTGTGAGGCTGCTGTTGGGCCTGGGCACAGACATTTGGGAGAGTGTCATAAGGCATCTCCTGAGGACCCAGGGTGGAGGGATGTAGTGGTGAGGGTGGGGATGGGGACCAACGTACCTGGAAATATTTGTGTTTCCCCCTCAAAAAAGGTCTCCCTTTCTTGGGGCCTGGGGCCTGGCTTTTGACCACTGATGGGGTCCATGTGTGACTGCCTGTGTGCTATGGACGTGTGGTCACACAGTAGTTATGCCCCGCTCCAGCACAGCCCTGTAGGCGTCGTGGAGGTCCTTGGGGGTACCCCAAAGCTCAGGTGGGACAGAGCCTTGGGTGGTCCAGAGCTTTGTAGCTTGGTGGAAGATGGTGATGAGCCTGAACTGTGTCTGGACAGTGTGGGAGAGTTTCTGAAAGCAGAGGCTATAAAGCCTGAGACTCTCCACCTTCCTGTCATCTGCCTCGATCCTCAGCATGGCTGTTCAGCCACATCTGGCAGGGTCCACGTCAAGATTCCTCAGACCTGTTCCCAAAGCACTCCTTTGCACAGGTGACAGCTCAAATCCCAGCTCTACAAGGTCCTCCCTACCCACCGCCCCCGTGCTCCCTCAGCCCCTGCACCACAGCTTGTTGCTCCCTGTGATGTTTGTGCTGTGTTAGCATCTGTGGTTCATCCCCACACGACTGCCACTGATGCTCTTCCCTCCCATTCCCAAACTACCCAGAAGACAGAGGGAGACATCAAGAGGTCCTTCATCTGTTAGTTCACTCCTCAAATGGCCACAATGGCTGAGGCTGGGGCTGGGCTGGACCAGGCTGACGCCAAGAGCCTGGAAATCCAGCTGGGTCCCCATGTGAGTGACAGGGGCCAAGTACTTGGACCAGTATCCACTGGTTTCCTAGGCACATTTGCAGGGAGCTGGATCAGAAGTGGAGCAGCCAGGACCAGAACCACCAATCAAGTATAGGATACAGGTGTCATGCATAGTCATTTGACTCCTGAACTACAACTCCAGCCCATAGCCAGAGTCCTTGATCTAAAACAAGGGAGTGAGAATTTGTACTAAGGCGTGAAATGCCACCATGGCCACTGTGGATCCTTGCTTGTATGCAGTTTGTGTTTTTATTGCTTTAACTTCAAGTCACATTTGCTTTGTGACACTTAAGAGATGTGTATGCTAAACTTTTTGTCTGCCATTAAATTAAAAGCTACTTCTGGCTTGCTTCAAGATGAGACTCCGGGATGTCCTGATTCACTTTCACAGCCAACAGAGCATGCTTCCTAATTCATCTTAGAGTCAGTCCTTCCTTACATTGAGCTCTGCAGACGCCCCTCGCGTAGTGACCCGGGAAGACACACATGCTCAGTGCAAGAACTTGGAATGGTGAAGAGTTAGTGCAGTCCATCTTCCAGCTGCCTGACAGGAGGCAGCTTCTCCTCAGGACAAGTATAACTTAGCTAATGCTGAAACCGCAGAAACATTCACTCCCCATCCTGTACCTTCAGCGACCCTTCCCTCCTCCACCTATTCATCCCGACATTAATTCTAGGTCTCTGCCTTGCGCTCAGGGTTGGATCTCGTGGTAAATGCTGCTGCCTAGTAACTGCAGGAAGGCATCTGTAATTTCCCTGTCAGAGTGGTTTTGATGCCCTCTTGCAGTGGGGCACGAATCATTAAAGAAAAGATAAATGGTTATGGCTCCCCCAAAAACTGCAGTTAGCGCATGCATGAAAAAGTCCCATTTTCACCTTTAATCCTCTTAGCCATGGAGCGAAATCGATTTTTATTGCTTATGCGCAAGGGGCTGAATTGATTATGAGACTGCGAGCTTCCAGAAAAAGAAGCCCTCATAAAACTACATCCTTTCCTCCCCCTCCCTCAACCTCGCATCTGACTCAGCTCAAAAGTATCCTCCGAAGCTTGATTCAAAGTCAGGCAAGTGATGAGCTGCTGACAGAGCCCCAAATGCAAAGAGAGGGGGCCCAGAGGCCAAGTGGCACCTGATGGGAGCAGACCTCCCTGTGACCAGGATGTGGTGGAGAGGCAGCCCCACCCTCCCAGGCCCTTGTGAGAGTAACTGAGGTTTTGGGCCAAGCAGCGTGGTCCTTTCCACACTGCCTGGGGCATTTGCAGAGTGGCTTCTGTGTTCCCAGTTGTAAAGGAGATCATCTTTGTTGAGGTCTGGATGACAGTGGCCGCCCTGGGCTGCTCAGTGTCTGTGTGCCGGGCGCATCGCTTCAAAGGCTTTATGGAGGGTGTGCTCTTTAACCCTCTTAACATGACCTTGGCAGTAGTTGCTACGACTCGCTTTATAGATGAGAAAATTGAGGTCTCGGGGAGGTGAAGTCGTTTGTCCAAGACCAACAGCTAGACAATAGTAGAACCAGGCTGTGAACTCAGAGTCTGGCTATAGAGCCAGTGTGTCCTTCAGCCACCACACTTTCAGATCGCACCTGTTCTCATGAAAATTCATAGTGTAAAGCTGCCCTGATTCACCAGGGCCCGGGCCAGTGCTTTTGATCTGGGTTTCCAATCTGTGAAATAACAATTAGGTTTCTTTGTCCTCCAGATGTGTCTTGAAGGATTAATAAATTGGTCTTCAGGGTTTGGAGAGTCTTAGATGGTTGAAGATGTTAGTTAACTAAAAGGAGCGAATGTGGTTCCACACAAATCCCCACACAGAAGCAGTTTCTTTCTCCGACAGCTGGTTGTGAGCTTAAAAACAAATTTCACATATATCCGGTGTAAGTCAGAAACCTGATATTCTTTGTGGAGTACTATGAAGGCCTTTTGTACAGGGACTTAATCGGACCTCTGACCACAAATTCCCCTTTGAACAAATAGGGCGCCTGTGAGGCAGGACGGTCCCTAGCCTCCTGTCTTTGAAGCCAACCACTGCTCTCTGGTTGGCTCGGGAGGAGGGCATCAGTGAGGGCCAGGCCCTGCATCCCGTGCTTGCCACACTTGACCACACCCTCTTTTTACTCTGATTATGACGTGTCTCTCCAGGGGAAGAATGATACCAGAAGAACCCAAACTGGTTTGCTTATGGTATTTATTAAAATATTTAATTGAAAAGCAGATTTACTGAGAGAAGGCAAGACAGAGAGAGAAATTCTTCCACTAACTGGTTCATTCCCCAAATGGCCCCAATGGCTGAAGCTGTGCCGATCTGAAGTCAGGAACCAGGAACCTCTTCCTGGGTCTCCCATGTGCATGCAGGGGCCCAAGAACTTGGGCCATCCTTCATGCCTTTCCCAGGCCATAAGCAAAGAGCTGGATCAGAACAGGAGCAGCAAGGACACAAACTGGTGCCCATTTAGGATGTTGGCACCACAGGATGGAGGATTAGCCTACTGAGCCATGACACTGGCCCCACTTACGATATTATATATCATGAAATGAAAAATTTGATCCTCTGCCCACACCAAAATGAATAACAACCCAAGTAGGTAGCATCCCTGTGCATTTCACCAGCACAATTATACATCCTTTATTGTACACTGAAATGCAAATAGCATTTTTAAGAAGATTTACTTATTTATCTGAAAGACACAGAGGGAGAGAGACTCTGACCCTCGATGGCTGCAGTGCCCAGGGCGAGGTGAGGCCGAAGCCAGGAGAAAGGAGCTTCCTCCAGGTCTCTGACATGGGTCGTAGGGTCCCAGACACTGTGACCATGTTCCACTGTTTTATACAGGCAGAGTAGGACAGGAAGTGGAGCAGCTGGAATGTGGATGGGCGTGTGTCGCAGACTGGACGCTGGTGCTGCAGACGGAGGCTTTCCTTCCACACCACAAATAACATTTTAAAAGATGTCAAGAGAAATAGAGCTACAGGGTCTTGAACTGATATAGTCCTAAGGGGAAGGTATTTTAGAAAAAGATTCTCATGTGAACATAAACACACACTATATTATATTCTCTCTGACTTAATCTTATTTCTGGAAATTTATCCTTAAGAAATTATTACAAATAAGGAAACTCAGATAGTAATTGCAAATATAACACTTTTGCAAAAACTGTAATAGCAAAATATTTGGAATTCATGTTTCACACACACGCCTGACAGATGCATATTAGTTTAAAAAATTGTAAAGCTATGCAGCAACATGAAATTACTATGGGGAGAATGATGTCAGATGTATAGTCAGGTACGGTTGCACAGTTTACATTGTCCACTTGGCACTTTCGGAGTTTTTGTTCTGTTTCTTTCCTACTCTGCGCCTTCCTTTCTCATGTCATCATGTGTGTTCCTGACGGACTGCGCCGCTTCCCTTGTCTCCTTCACACCGTAACAGTACTTTCCTGACCTTGGGTCACCTGTGCACTGTTTCCATGAGTATTTTTTATCAGCTGAAGGTCATTGTCTGTGGGGCGCCATCATTCCTTAGCCTGAGAGAAGCCCTGTTGACTTCGATGGTCCCAGTTGGGCAGCACTTCTTCACACCACTTTCCTGGAACGGTGGCTGAGTTTGAGTTGGGTAGGAATCCTGAGTTTGTGTGGGAAGCTCGGTTCTTCAACAAGGGCCTGAGCATTGCTGTTCTCCCTGAAGGGTTAAAGTCCAGCCCCCAAATCTTAAGCCTTTACTGTTTACATGCCCCTTGCACCTTTGGGTTTAGCTCTCACAAATCAACAGAGGCTGCTTCCTTTCCTGCCCTCAAACTCTGCTGTGCCTTAAAAAGAGAATGTATGCTTTACTCATCATTTCCATATGTTTGAGGTGGAGATTTCAAGCCACCATAATGACTAGGTGTACTTATTTATCTTTTCCATCCACTGCAACTGTATGGAAAAATATATATGCATATAACAGAGGCTGGAAGGACTTGGGAGACATTCTGATTTGTTTTGGTAGAAATAGTGGATTTATAGCAACTGTCACCCTCCATTATACAATCATACCGTCTTATCTTGAAAAAACTTATTTGGCTTATCCTTGTTTAAACTCTTGTCTTTTGTTTCAGAATGCATATACCACAACTGCCATCAATGGAACAGATTTTTGTACATCAGCAAAAGATGCATTCCAAATCTTGTCTAAGAATTCAAGTCATTTGACATCTATTAACTGCTTTGGAAACTTCGTAATTTTTCTAGGCAAGGTGAGATGTCTTGATTAAACAAATAAGGAACCTGGGATTCAAACAACTGAAGCCATGGGATCATGAAGTTGTAAGGGAACTGACGTGTCCTGAGCATGTTCCCTATAGTATCCAGTCGGTGCTGTTTTGTAACTCTCTTAGTACTCAGTCCCGCAGGCTAGCCCTAGTTTGTGCATGATGAAATTAAAGCTAACTTGTCCAGGATCCCACCATCAATAGAGCCAGTGTTGATTCTAGTCTGGGATCAATTCTCTCTGCCATTCTGACCCCACCTTTTCGTGGCTGAAGTGAAAATAGAACATCAGAAAATGAGTTTGGTAATTTTAGTCATAAAAATCTATGGAAATAGGGACTGGCACTGTGGCACAACAGGTTAGGTCACCAGCTGCTAATGTGAGCACTGGTTTAAATCCCAACTGCACCGCTTCCAGTCCAGCTCCTTGCTAGTGTGTCTGGGAAGGGAATGGGAATGACCCAAGTCTGGGAATGACCCAAGTGCCTGGGCCCCTGAATGAAGTGGAAGACCTGGCTGGGGTTCCTGGCTCCTGCCTTCAGGCTGGCCCAGTTCCTGCTGCTGTGGCCACTTGGAGAGTGACCCAGTGGTTAGAAGGGTACACGTTCTCTCTCTCTTACTCCACCTTTCAAATGAATAAATGTATAAATATATCCTTCAACCCAATGACACTTGTACTTCATGATATTAGGCCCTTAAGTAAGTATGTTACTGCCATACTGACTCATACTTCTCAAACGTCAAGGGATTTTTTTGGTTGTTTGTTTATAAAAATTTGTTTATTTATTTGAGTTAGAGAGAGAGGTAGAGATACAGAGACATAGCTCTTTCATCAACTGGTTCACTCCCCTGATGGCTGCAACTGCTGAGTTGGGCATCAGGAACTTCTAGGTCTCCCACATGGGTAGCAGGGGCCCAAACATTTGAGCAATCTTATGCTGCTTTCCCTAGGCCATTAACAAGCTACTGGATCACAAGTAGAGCAGCAAAGACATGACCAGTCACCATTATGGGAGGTGTGGGTGGCAGCTTCACTCACAATGCCACAACACTGGCGCCCCTAAATTCAGGTTTTTATCTGTAGATACTCATATTCTTGTGGCTAAATGGGCCCAACTGGAAACTATAATGCTAAGGGATACGAGCGAATCCCAAAAGGTTAGATACCACGTTTGCCTTGATTTAACCTGTAATTTTTGTTTGGTTGTTTGTTATTTTTTGAACCTGTCTCAACCCAGATGTTTTGAAGAATTGAACTTGCATTATTTTTAACATATTGTTTACTCAATACTATGTCAATTAATTCCATAATGTTGTATATTGATGCTGAGGTTTTGTTGGGGCTTTTAACTGACCGGAACTTTACTCTGTTAGCTCTACCTTCAGAACAGAGAAGGTCTCCCCAAGAGGCCACTGAACTTATCTGGACAATAAGATGCTGGACTTTATACTAGGTATATGCTTGCAATGAAGGAATCTCAAATGAACTTGAACTGTGGTTATGCAGCAAGGTGGAGGAATCCACTATGGGGAGAAGGGTGTGGGAGGGGTGGGGGGAATCCCCAGTGCCTATAAAACTGTATCACATAATACAATGTTAATAACAAAAAAAACCCACAAAAAATAAAATAAAATAATCTAATTAAAAAAAAGATACTCATATTCTATCCAGGATTAGGGGAAAAGGACTGAAACACTGATGAAATGGTCCCCCAACCCCTGCCCTGGCGCACATCTAATGATGTTTCAAGCTAGAAGGTTCTTTATGCCATGCCCCAGCATCTGTGTAATTTTTACCACCTGACTTTGTACATTTATGTGTCAAACCCACTTGACTACCCACGCCATGACCTTTCCACATGTTCTCTGTATTCCAAGCTAAGCTTCCTTGCTGCGTTCAGCCATTTCATTTCAGTGCTCAGAAGTGAACCAATAGCTGTGATGTGACCAGTGTCAAATTTTGGCACTCCATTCCTCATTTCAGTGTGCTGTTTCTGTGGTAGTTGGTGTATGCTTCCGGTACAATAGTATCATTGTCAGTGGGCCTGATCTCACAGGTGTATAATTACACATACATTTATGGTTCAGCTGGACCCCCAAGTGTTTCATGTGACAGTAGCCATATGAGTACAAAAATAACCATGCCTTTCAAAGTTACCAGAATAATATAGCTTGTAGTTGTACTTAAATAGATACTAGGTAAAGGCAGTTGGCCTAGCAGTGCTGATACAAGGCCTGCATCTATACCAGAGTGCTTAATTCAAATTCCAGGTCCAACTTCTCTTAACTTCCTGCTAATGCACTCTGAGAAGCAACAGGCTCACGTAGCTGGGTTCCTGCCACCTGTGTGGGAGACCTGGCTTGAGTTTGCAACTCCCAGGTTAGGTTGGCTCAGTCCCAGCTGTTACGGGAGTGAACTAGCAGAGGAGTTTTCAGAGGAGTTTCCCCGCCTTATTTATTTTTTAAAGGTGTACTTATTTTTATTGGGAAAACAGGTTTACAGAGAGGAGAAAGATATTCCATTTGCTGGCTCACATTCCTAAATGTCTACAGTTGTTAGAGCCGAGTCAATCTGAAGCCAGGAGCGAGGAGCTTCCTTGGGGTCTCCCACATGGGTGCAGGGTCCCAGGGTTTTGGACCATCCTCAGCCTGCTTTCCCAGGCCACAAGCAGGAAGCTGGATGCAGATGACATTTTCTAAACATTTTCCAAAAAACTTTGGAATGAGATTTTATCTTTAGAATAAACTGATCTATTATTTAATACTTTCTGATATTTCCCTTAGGGAACCTTTAACAGCTAATGAGATTTTAATGATTTTTCGCAATAGCCAGTGATTCTTTGATCTCTTGAATGAAACAGAATTCAGAGTTCCCCAATCATCATCATTCAGAGGCTAAGCGAACCCACGGTGGACTCCATCTCATCTCTTAAAATAATAGGTACCTGTGGCTTGTACTCAGAGGCCTGGGATACAGTAACCAGATAGAGAGCAAGAGCTTCCTGTGTATCCTATGATTTTCCCACACGAACCCTGGAAAGCCCCTTCATTTTCACCCCCAAGGTGAAAGTAACTACTTATTTAGCTACATTAAGCCCACTGGGTAGATAGCTGGCATGTGAAACAGTGCTATTTATTAATACATGTTTTTAAAAATAAAAATGCTTATTGGAATGTGAAGTGAAAAATGGAATCAAGAGCCCAGCATGGTGGCTTAGTGGCTAAAGTCCTCGCCTTGAACATGCCTGGATCCCACATGGGCACCGGTTCTAATCTTGGCAATCCTGCTTCCCATCCATCCAGCTCCCTGCTTGTGGCCTGGGAAAGCAGTCAAGGACGGCCCAAAGCCTTGGGAGCCTGCACCTGTGTGGGAGACCTGGAGGAAATTCCAGGCTCTGGCTTCCGATTGGCTCAGCACTGGCTGTGACAGTCACTTGGGGAGTGAAATCATCGGATGGAAGATCTTCCTCTTTCTCTTCTCTTCTCTGTTATCTGACTTTGCAATTAAAAAAAAAAAGGAATCAAAATGTAAACACAAAAACGAGAGGAAAGGACATGCCCCCTTCCCACCCACCTTCTTTTTCTTTGATTTTCCTTTTCTGTCAATATCACACACTCAGACTTATGTATGTATGTGGAATTATTGTAACTGAAAAGCCATCTTTGCTAAAATATTTCCAACAAACTCTTTTTGGGCAGGTGTTGGTGGTGTGTTTCACCGTCTTTGGCGGGCTCATGGCCTTCAACTATGACCGTGCGCTGCAGGTGTGGGCAATCCCTCTCTTATTGGTGGCCTTTTTTGCCTACTTAGTGGCTCACAGTTTTTTATCCGTGTTTGACACTGTGTTGGATGCACTTTTCCTGTGTTTCACTGTTGACCTGGAGACAAATGATGGATCGTCAGAGAAGCCCTACTTTATGGACCAAGATTTGTGGGTGAGCAAACATCTCATTTCCTTTGCAGTCTCTGCCCCACAATCCTAGAGACAGCTTCATGGACCCAGGTCCTTCAGGCCTGTGGACTTCTGCTGCCTCATGGCCTGGTTGTGGCATGTGTGCAGCTTGCCCAGTTGGGATGAATTCTCAGGAGGAGCAGTGCTGACCCTGTAGGAAAAGGGGCTGCACACAGGAGGAGTCCAGGGTGGCCTTTTGGTCCTAATGGTTTGCTCTGGCCTTCTGGGTGGTCCAGAAGTTCCTAGAACATGACTGAACATGCACACATGTCCCCTGCAGTATATTTTGGGGAGAGTACACATGCCGAGTTGATGCCCTTCCGCAGCAGCATCCACAGGTCTGCAGTGCTCAGGCTCTGTCGCCACCAGTGCAGGCAGAACCACACCCTTCCCAGAGTCTGCCTCATGGCTTCTATCTGCAAATAGCAGGCAGCTGTCTCCAACAGTTGTGCCTGTTTGCCTTATCCTGTGTGGACAGGGACATCTTAACAGCTGAATGATGCCTCCCTGCTTGGTTCTTAGATATTTTAGTTCTGCTGCCAAAATATTTAGGTAGTAAAGCCCTCTTTGCTTGAAATAGAGTACGTTCCACTTGAGCAGGTACTGAAGTTTAACACACACTCCTTTTGTTGAAAATCATGTATGCATATCCTTCTCCACATCAACCATGAGGACACCATGTCTACTTTTGTCTTTTGACTTATTTATAGGTAGCTGAAGAAAAGTATTTCACATTCTCTGAGATAAAAATCCATTTGAAATTTATCCCCACCACCCAAAATGCTTCATGTCAAGAGGAGGATCTTTCCTGAGGATTCATTCAATTCCTGAAATCATATTGACTAATATGGAGTAAATGGCTACCAACAGGACAGATTCCTAACACTGGATCTAACTTATTTTTGTGTTTTTTCCCCAGAACTTCGTGAAGAAGACCAATGAGTTCAACAATGTGAGGGCAGAGAGAGATGAGAACTCAGTAAAGAACGAAGGAGGAACAGAACTCCGGCCGATGGTGAACAGGTGCCAGGCAGATGTGTGAGCTTGAAGAGATGACCTCCTCCACAGAGCCATTACAGACCACCAGGTCCAACAGACCCTATTCCTCTGTTGTCTTTGTTGTTACTGTTGGCTTTCTTCCAACAGGACAGCCTTTTATGGACCAAATGGGATGGAAACACTAAACCACCGGTGTGTGCATCAATTTAAAAAGCACAGTATGTAAAAAAAAATCTCATGTTCTGAGGCAAATAATAAATAAACCTTTGGTGTGAGAAGTTTCTAAAACTTTTTCTTAAATTATTTGCTTCAAAGGCAGAGTTAATATAGAGAGGGATAGGCAGGGAGCTAAATTCACCTATCTGCTGGTTCACTTTCCAAATGGCCAACAGCAGCCATGGCTGGGCCAGAATGTAGTCAGGATCCAGGAGCTTCATTTAGGTCTCCCTTATTGGTGTAGAGACCCAAGCACCTGAGCCATCTTCCAGATTTGCCAGGTGCATTACCAAGGAGCTGGATTGCAAGTGGAGAGCTGAGACTTCAACTGGTGCCCAAATGAGATGCCAGTGTCATAGGCAATGGCTTAACCCACCTTACCCCAACACGAGCCCCTAAAACCTTTGTTTTTAAAGTCTTGTTAACAGAAATCCCGGAGCTTTTACTTTCATGCAAGGTAGAAATTCTCCTTACTCACCCAGTCCTAGAAATATGCTGAGTATATTAGCTTTTCAATATATGATTCCTAGATTGAGTGAAAATAAAAACTAAAAGTTTAAACTCAAACTGGGACCACTCTCAGACGTGGGCACATGGAAGAGACAGTTTAGCTAGATCTGACTTAGCTGGTTAAAATCCAGGGCCAGGGGCCAAGGCTGAGGCCCAGTTGGTTAAGACCAGAAATACCCACAATACAAGCACCTTACGTAAGTGCTGCTTCACTTCTTGGGTGCTGCATTTCCAATCCAGGTCCCCGCTAATGCACTGGAAAAGCAGCAGCACATGGCTCAAGTGACTGGCTCCCTGCCACTCTCATGGGAGATGGGTGTGAAGTTCCCAGCTCCAAGCTATGGCCTGCCTCAGCTCCAGCCACTGTGGCCATTTGAGGAGTAAACGAGGGGATGGAAAAATCTCTCTGTAACTCTGCTTCTCTTGGAAAACAACAAAACCGCCAGAGGCCCTCTTGGCAAGTACAACATGCCACAAAAATGGTTTCCAGCCATAGCCCCACCTGAGAATTCCCCAGGGGAAGGTTTTTGAAAATGCTTACCCCATGATATCATTTTCAAAGACTCAGGGGAAGGGGGAACTTTTCCTTTTTAAAGCTTTAAGTAACTAGGAGCATTTTCTTCATTGACTGGCACCCTCATTTGTCACATGGGAAGGTAAGATTGCTCACCCAACAGGAGGACCACTCTGACTTCTTAACCTCTTGACCAAAGAGGACAGGAAGCCAACTAGCAGCCCAGGTCTACATTCAATACAAATGACATTTTTCTTCAAAAGCACCATTAAGTTAGCTGAGTGATCACAATCTCCCAATCTCCCTTAGCGATTTACAGAGAAGTTTCTCAGAAACAGTAAACCAGTCATGTGGAATGATGACCAAATATATTTTTGACTCCTGTAGGCTCATTAAGTCCAGCTTGTATCCTCAGCAAACCAGGCATGCCCCAGGCCCAAGCCCAATACAGCCCATCCTATCCGAATGATGGCTAGACTGAGACAGTGTCAAGTAGCTGTGGGTACCAGTGCATTACACTACCTCACTTAGATATGGTTCAACCTCTCATGATTGAAGGTTTCACTTTAATCATAAGCCCCAGCATATTATGAAACAGTGCACACTAGTTTTTGATCCAGTCTGTTTCTTACTCATACTGACCCCAGAAAAGGAATATAAAATCCCCAACTCCTGACTCCCACACATATTCCTCAAGGTGACTGAGAGATCTCCTCCCCTCCAAGTTGAATCTAAGATGCATCTGGGGCAGCCAAGTTAGGGAGAAATAAAAGCAAGAGTCAGATCCTGGCTTGGGTCCTAGCTGGCATTTGCTAGGCAAGTCTTTTCATTTATCTAATCATCCACCTTTAAACATGGACTGTAGTTTTGTACAGACAAAATCAAATAATGCTGAAGAATCTTAAAGCAATATACCTGGGAAAGGATTTCTTAAAAAAAAAATCTAACTATGTGGAAGCTAGTCAACCAAAAAATGACAAGTCTGAGGTTCATATGAATGTTCAAAAAAAATATTTATTTATAAAAAATACAATGGGATAAGTTTATGCTGAGAAATGCAGCAATAAATACAGTTGAAGAAAACAGAGCAACTCTATATTGATACATTGGCACAGAAAGGAAGAGCATGCACCGCCCAGACCTGGAAGTGTGCAGGCCCCTTCCGCACATGCTCCTTCGCACGGGCTCCTTCAGCAATACCGTTCCCAAAAGATCTTGTCAGCATAGGTGCGAGAATGAGTACACATATTATCACAGGTGCACACTGATCAGGACTTTATTTAAAAATTAACAAACAATACTGTAGAAACATTGATATGTAAATTCCTAAAATGCTGCATATCTTAGATTTAGTTGGCAAAAACCACGATTAGCAACAAGCATGAGTTTAGTCTTCCATGTAGAAACCAGATATACTGAACTATCAAAAAAAAAACCACCCTATTGTTTGAAAATACCAATTTTAAGTAGAAGATTGTAAAAATGCATAGATCTTTAATAAAAGAATTGGCTGTACAAGAGTATTCCCCTTTCACAGTATTCCTTTTTACTTCATGTTCGAGTTACTGGTTATGCTGTAGTATTTAACTGTTACAGCACTAAAAGGCAACTATTGAGGGAAGAGGCAGAGAAAGGAAAAAGGAATGTACGTAAGGCAATTTTTCTTTTTTAGGTATAATAAGCATAATAGTGTTTTAGGAAGACGAGATAAAAATTACTCAAGGCTAGCTTGGTTCTCACTGAATAGGAACAATGGACTAAATCTTGGGCTCCTCTGTGTCACTCTAGTAATCAATGCCCTGGTCCCCATACTGGTACTCCCTGGGGTAATCATCCTGGTACTCGCCATGATACTCATCGGGGTACTCTGCCTGGGAATCGCTATCACTGATTTCCGACCCGTTGGTCCCTGTCCCTTGACTTCCATTGTGAATGGCAGGCTCTGTCGGGGCGGCACAGTATTTGGGATCATATACTTGCCGCCCAAGCCCGTACACACTCATTCCTTTCTGGGAAGCAACTTTGTTGGTCCCCATCTGTAGCGAGATCGTTGAGTTGTCCACTGGCTGTAATGTTAGCTTCTGATCATAGATGTCTCTCCTGGTTCCTGGGGCCAACATCCCCGCCTGGCATCAGAACATAATGTGGAAGTTAGCAGCTTTACATGCATTCTTGTAACGATTTTCTAGACTATGAAACTCAATTTGAATGTGTGGATACAATACAGGAACGTTCAGGTGGCTCAGCAGTTATGAAGCTAGTTTACCAAAATATCCAGGCACTGAGTCACTTTTATGAAATGATATTCACTGGTTTCCAGCTAGGTCATACTCCCCTTCAAGTCCTTGTTCTGCTGTAAAACTGGTCTATGGCCCCAAGCAAGCTGACTTTTAGTTTTAAGTATCTCACAGACCTAGTAGAGACAATCCTCCTTCCTCTGGATCTGAGAGAGGATCATGCATAAAGAACGTAAACATTGGAGCGGGTGCTGGAGCACAGCTGGTTGAGGCCTTGTACAGGGATGTGTGCATCACACAGCACAGTACTGGACAGAGTCCAGGCTGCTCTGCTCCCAGTCCAGCTTCCTGCTAATGCATCCTGGGAGGCAGCCTGGTGGGCCCTGCCAACTATATGGGAGACCCAGAGGAATTTTCTTGCAGGTTTTTGGGGAGTGAACCAGCAAATAGAAAATTCTCTCTCTCCATTTCAAATTGAAGAAAATCACATTTGCCTTAAAAGGAGGAATGTAAAAATAATGCATGATGTGGGCACAGCTGACAGCCTCATCTGAATACCCACCATGACCACAAATGTAGATTGCCCATTTGAAAAGCCTGGTTTATCACATTCAACCAAAACAATGCTAAGCAAACCTTAGAGACCCTAGTCTTCGCAAAAGGCCTTGAGACATGCCAGGTGCCACCTCAGAGCACCTATGCTAGGACCAGGCTTCGGCTACCTGGCCTGCCTTCTCCACTAGGTCTGAGACACACACCCAGACCTAAAGGGCAGAAACATAAACCTGAGCAGCACCTGTGAGAGCAGGCCACATTCCAGCAACAGTGAACAGCAAACCTCAATCCCCTGCCCACCTTTTGCTAGACTATGAGCCTCAACTGCTCTCAAATGGCTGTGGGATCCTCTGCCTGGGTGCTAGCAGCTCACCTGTATGTGGTGAAGACATATTTCTATGTGATGTGTGCTAGTACAGCTCGGAAAACCAGAGGGCATTTTCCATCTCCTGATTAAGAACTACATGCTGTTATTTTAAAACTATTTAACTGTCATTTAGTAGGAATCAGGACCCATTAACTCCCATTAAGCCAATTCCTATTAAGTTCTAATTAAATAGTTATTTGCAGAACACCAGAATGTTCTTTACCTAGTAATATAAAAGGGGATCCATTTAAAACAAGACACCATTACCACTACCACCACCAAAAGCCAACGTTTAAATGCGAAAATCCTTGGCTGGATTTTGGAGCAAGAACACTGTAACAAACCACATTTGCACTTTCTGGTTGGGGAGCAAGGCCAATTGTTCCGACTGCCTAAAACACTATGAGCTATTGCAAACTTGTGTACTGTTGAAAAGGTTAATTTTCTTCTTTCTTCAACACAGCTCCACTCATTAAGAAATATAATATAAATATACCACACAAAAGAATATCTACTTTCAACTTTTAGGCTAATCATAAGGTAAATGCTAACTTAAAAATAGCCCTTTTGTACTCTTGGTTGTAAACATGAAAAGGTATCACTTACCTGGCTGGCTCCTTTGTTGGTGCCCATCTGCAGACTAATTGTGGTCTGATCAAAAGGCTTGTCAGTTTGCATTTTGGGATCATAAAGATGCCTTCTGGTTCCATAAGCTGTCATTCCTGCCTGGCTGGCACACTTGTTGGTTCCCATCTTTCAAGTTGAAAAATAAGATTAATTAGCACTAATCATAGGAAGTCAATAAAATATACAACCCCAACCAAACTTTTTGTGTTATGAAGAACATGGAAGTGCAACTGATCAGTTCCGAAGCTAAGGCTTAAGTCAACCAGACTGTTTTCTCTGCTTTTAGAGATTTCAAGTACTAACTGTAAAATTCCCACTCCCCCCGCCCTCCGCCAAATCACTGAATCTGCAATCTGATAGCTAATTCACCACACATGAAGTGACACCCATGAACACAAGCCACTATGACAGTGGCAGAACTCTGAGCCATCTATCTCCACGCTCCTCTGTCCCCTTCACACTGCTGCGCCACTTCAGTTACTTTAGGGGAGGAGCATCTTGAGCAGGACAACACACCTTCTACTCCAAACTTTTTATATAAGGCCAAATATTTTATCTAGATTTGGAGGAGATTCTTGGTTTCAAAATCATCATTTTCTTGGGGGAAAGAACCCTACTTTACTCTGCTACTCCTCACACCAATGGACAGAGTGAAAGAGAGAGGCAGAATGAAGAATCTGAACCCAACTTAGGTCAGAAAACAACTAACTTCTCCATCAAGAGCAACAGCTTCAGGACCAACCAGCACAGACTATTGCTGGTCCCCTTTTAGTTAAAGAGATGACCTATTAGGAGAAATCTCTACTGCTGAAAGTAAAATCTGTTCAATGAAGAAGATTCAGAAAATACACACAAGCAAAAAGAAAAACGGAAACCATCATTCTGAGCCCCCCACCCAGGTACTGAAAGTCAGCCAGCAATTGTGAAGGTTCCCCTCCCCTTTTCACTGGTCTGTAGCCACACATATCTGCACAAACATCTACAGGGCTAAAAATACGTACATTGTTAAAAACAATCACACCTACCACAGTATTGTGTAACTTTTCTTTCCTTAACTGATCTTTTTTCAAACTCCAGTGTATCATTGTTACAAGTTTCTTCCCAGGAGTTATAATTTAGCCAACTAACTATGGTTTGGAAATTGAGGTCTTTAATTTCTCACCATGGATACAGTTTTGTGCCATCTGAAAATAAACTCGGCTCACATAGTGAGTCAAACAAGGGCAAGGTACCATGTAGGTGACAGTCCGGCCCACAGTGCTGAGGGCATTTAGCAATGCTGCTCTTGCGACACTGTCCCAGAGAACAATGTGAATGGGGGGAAAACATTTCAATTATTTAAGGAGAATTAAACTGACACATTTTGGCAGCATTTGCAGGCCACATCATGCTTTCTATGGTAAATAAAAGACTTTACCATTAAGGTCTTGAGAAACTGCTTCATTTTGTCAACAATATTTAGGAAGTCACAAAGTGCACTTTCTTAAATTAGAAAAAGACACTGTGATTAGAAAAATGATTATCATTTCCTAGACAACTGTCAAATGGAGTTTCTTCCAAAACCCATCATTGCCTCATAGGTTGTAAAGCATAGAGCCATGCCCAAATATAGCTCCTTAACGTACTCTTTATGTAGGAGAGACTTAACAGTTTACACAACAAAAATTAGTGATATTCAATGAGGGACTGAGCCAGCATCACATGACTTACCTGCAAACCAATTACACTCTGGCCAGCTTTTAGTTTTCCTTCATCAAAGCGTCTTGTTTGTTTTTCTGCATACTTAACTCCAATGTCAATGGTTGTATGGAAACCTTTTGTTTTAGCCTAGGTGGAAACACACAGACTAACTGAACAGTCACTTCCACGCATATTCCATAAAGAGTTTTACAGAAGGAATAGCAAAGTCTAACTGTATGTCCACCGGATGAGGACCTCATCAGGAAAACCCAGACAAGAGTTAGGCTACTCACAGAGGCACTGTCACCTGTGAAGGGGAGTGGCCTAGTTCTACCACCTAGCACAAGGCAGCAGCCTTTTCCCAAAGCTAACAAATTCAGCAGAGACAGGCCTCCCCACACTGGCTCTCAAACCCCAGGGCAATGATGCAATTTGTCACCGAGTATATTTTTAATCAGCCATTAAAAGACATATACGTACCAGACCGGCCAGAGCCACCAACGTAGTCTGAACCTGGGTCATGTTTCCGTTCTCGAAAAGATCATTGGCTTCAAATATGTCATGTGGCTTCATACCATAAGCCTGGATAGCTTTAATAAAGTTGCCAATATTCTCCAACTACATAGAAAAAGGTTCACATAGCATTTTTAGAGTTAAACATTGACTTTGGTCATATCTATGAATTATACTCTTTCAGGATTGAACTGTAAGATGCTGGACAGAAAGCTAACTTGGCAAAGATTCACAACCAGATATACACCAAGCATAGTCTCTGAATGCAAAAAAAAAAAAAGTTTATCTCAATGTGGCTCAAAACAATTTTATGTAGTTACACATCATTAGTTCTTTCAGGAAAACATCTTCCTTATACATTTTTAAGAATTCTACATCAGAGCTATGCAGTTCTGGAATTTTCTTTTATTTATCTGTAAGGCAGAGCAAACAAGAGAGATGCAGTGAGAGTTCCAATTCATTGGTTCACTGTTCACATGCCCACAATGGCTGGGGCCAAGGCCAAGGTCAGGATTAGGTGCTGAGAATTCAATCCTGTGAGTGTTAAGTATCATTTATTTAGTCATCACCAATACCTCCCAGCCAAGAATCAAATTCAGATACTCTGATGTCATCACTACTAGGCTAAACAACTGATCTCAGTTGTAGAATTTTCTTAGTCAAACCACATTCATCACAAACAGAATAAAAATTCTTGTGCTTTATTCTTATCTCAAATTAAATTTGTGGGAGGTGGACATTTTGCACAGTGGTTAAGATTCTCCTCGGGACGCTCCTGTCCCATACAGAAATGCCTGGATTTGAGCCCTGGCTCTGCTCCCGCTTCTAGCTTCCTGTTAATGGGTACCCTGGGAGATAGCAAGGGATGCTCCAAGCAGCTGAGTTCCTGACTCCCACACAGCAGACTCAGAGTGAGTTCCTGGTTTCTGCTCTCTCCTGGCACAGCTCTAACTGCTGTGGATATTTAGAAAGTGAGTCAGCAGACCAGGGATCACTGTTTTTCCAACTTTGTACCCTCAAAAAATTTTTAGAGATTGCAGATATTAAAGCCTTATCTTTTTGTTTATCTTACATTTACTTAAGACCAAATGAATGGCTAACTTGAACAAATCACAAATATTTGTGAGCATTTCTGATACTTTGTCCTAAAACCAAACATAAGCTATTATATTGTTTTACTTTTTCCTCTTGATGATCCTTAAAGTCTAGATTACATTACTGCTTGTACACTGCGTCAAACCCTCTCTGAAAGTAGATACATTAAATATAGGAAAACTGGAGTTTAGCCCAGGAGTTAAGACACCTGCATGCCACTTAGAGTGGTTTGATTCTCGGCTCTGCTCCCGACTCCAGCTTCCTGCTAACCTGGACCGAGGAAGGAGTGATGATGATTCAAATAACTGGGTTCCTGTGAACCGCGTAGGAGACCTGGATTAAGTTCCCGGCTCCTGGCTCTGGCCCAGCCCAGTACAGCTCCTAAGCACAAGTGGAGTGAACCAATAGATGGAAACTTTCTCTTCAATCAATCCATAAAGCAAATCTTCTAAGCTAAATATGTGCTGATAATCAAATTGTTCAACATAGGTAGTTTTGGAAAAAAAAACTGAGAAAACCTATATAGAGTAATGTATATAAATTCCTGCTAAAAAAATTCTTTCAAAACAGCAAAAAACTTCAAGATTTCAGGGCAGAAAAAATTAACCAGCTAGAACTGGAGGCTGGCTTGGCCATTACCTGAGGCCAGTTTAATGAGGACTCATTGACCTTCTTCACCGATCCTGGCTGCAGCTTGTTGATGAGTCTGTGAAGGAAAAGCAGCGAGAAACTGCATTTAGTGGCCACACAGAAACAAGCACTGCAACAGTTAGTTCCTTTAACAGCAGTAAAAGAAAGCATTCCATACATTTACAGAATACCGAGGCTCAACACCCTGGATGGGGAAGGGAGGCCAGAGGCCAGGGGAAAGGATGGGCACACGTGGACCCCGGGGCCTCCACTCACTCGCAGAGGATGATGCCATCCTTCAGGCCCAGCTGGAAGTTGGTGCCAATGCTCATGCCCGTCACCTCTTCAATCCAGTTGCGAAGGTCTTCTTCCGCCTGGTGATCATACTTGGAAGCAATCTGAAACGCAAGTCATCCAATGATCTCACTGCTGGCTCACAACTGCTCCAGTTTCATTCATTCTCCCTTGAGCTCACAGAGCTCCCTGGAAAACTCCCTGGAAAACTCAACCAACCAGCTTCAGTAAGAATTTTTAGCAGCAGGGAGATAAGCTGGGACTCAGGAGAAAAATATTCACGGAGAACAGATTCCCATTCATGACGCACAGGAAGTGACAAGGCCTGAGGAGTAGATTACAATCACCTTATCCCAGAGAAACAGTGAGGATTCTGACATACCCAACTATTTTACATAGTATTTCATCTGGCCAAGTCCTAGCACTCCAATAGCTTATTGCCTGGAAAGTTTCAATGTTTGCCTTCTTTTCATCTAAATACATACCACAAACTACCCTCACATACACACTTTCTGCAGTACCATCTGTACTCACAGTACAACATGGCGACACCATTTATTTAGTCTCTACCCCATGACATTCCTTACAGGAAGGAAAAACATAGTCCACTTTTAGATCTTTAGCACGCAGCATTCTACCTGAAAACCACTGAATAGATTTTTTAAAAAATTGTTTTTACCTGCAGAATTCAATAGCAAAGGCAACTTAACGTAAGTGCCATGCCATCAAACATGCCAAAACAGGTTTTAAAAGCCCTTTGCATGATAAGACCACAGACATCATTGAAATTTAACATGGCCTCAATGGCCAGGCCTGGCCCAGGAGCTTCATCCTGGTCTTGCACATGGGTGCAAGAACGAAAGCACCCGGGCTATCTTCAGCTGCTATCCCAGGTGCATTATCAGAGAGCTAGATCAAAAGCAGAAAAGGTCAAACTCCAACTGAAGCCCACAGGGGAATGTGGGTGTTGGAGGCAGCGGCTTGACTTGCTACACCATGACACCAGCCCTAACAGAGCGTCTGCAAAAAAGAAACTCCATGCTTCATTGACTAAATTCTCCCTGGTTTTCTAGTACTAAGGTCAACTATCACGAAGAGCAGAGCCAGAAAGAACCATGCTTGATCTGGCTTCATATGTAGCACAGGTGAAAGTGCCAATGCCTGGGAGACAGATTACAAGCAAGGAAGACAACTGTGGCACTGCTGGAAATGACAATGACCAACACAGATGTCTGCTCTCTGGCCAGTGCTGCAGCATAGCCGATTAAACACACACACACACAACAACCTCTGCCATTTGTGATATCAACATCCCATACAGGCACTGGTTCATGTCCTAGCTGTTGCACTTTCAATCAGGCTCCCTACTAATGTCCTGGAAAAGGCAGTAGAACATGACCCAATGTTTGGGTTCCTGCCAACCAAACGAAATGCTTGGCTTCAATCTGGCTCAGCCCTGGCCATTGTGGCCATCAGGGGAAGTGACCTAGCGGATGGAAGGTCTCTCTGTAACTCCTGGTGTGTTGAATCTCAGTCCAGCCCAGTCACAGGACAAACAAGCACCATGGTGCAGAATGCCCAAGGTTCCTAGGCTAGAGTGCAGGGCTGAGGGCTGCATTCAGGTCCTTGCCAAGAGACAGCCACGAATCAGCAGCATTGAGACACACATGCAAAAGGCTGGCTGGCTGACCGTTCAATCCCCTGAGAGCAAAATCCAACCCTGTCACAACTGACTACTGTTTCATTTCATGTCAGTGCACAGCCATGACAGCCTCTTCTATTATCTTAGGTGCGGAAAAGATACCCCATTTCCCAGTCAGGAGGTGGAAAAGTGTACACTCTGTCCTGCATTTACAGGTTCTCTGCACACCTGTGTCTCCACATATGCCCTGGAACTTAATGAGACCACCTCATATACTCCCACCCCACACTAATAGGTGAGGCCTCTGCCCTGAGCAGTTCTCAACCCCCTGCATCCCTCCCACCCCACCTCCCAACATGAGCCATGGCTCTACGCCTTCAACAGAACAGAACTCAAGCTGTAGATCCACTTCATGGGATCACCAGAGGAAATCCCAACAGTTCACATTTTCAGGTTCAGAGGAGTAGTGCTATGCAGTATTTCAGGGATCAATGTGGTGTGCCCCTGGTTTGTAAAACTCAGCTTCAGACTCAGTGTAAAGATACTTAGTGTGTGATAATTCTGGTCCCTTGTATTCCTACTCCCTGGCAAACGCGTGTTGATTTCTATTTCCTGCCAGTTTTGGGTCCTGTGAGCATGTGGACTGGGGAATGGTAAACGAGGAGATGGTAGTGTGGGAAAATTCTGCCACAGGGACACACCTTGCCCTGGTAAGCGGGCAAGCAGCCACTCATCCTATACACCTGCAGTCACTGTCCCTGCTAAGTATATCTCCTCTACCAGGGCAAACAAGTCTGTTTACCTCTGGCACCCACACTCGCAGACAAACCCGAGTCTTGATTATATTTCCACAGTGGAGTGCTGCACCTAGGTGGCTAGAAAAAGACACTTTGTAAATTGGAGGTGGAGATGAGGTGGGGTTGAAGGAGGCACTTAAAGAAGGAAAGTGTGAGATGGGCTCCTAAGCATTACCTGTTGGAAGCAAATTCTAATTTTGGGCTGAATGGTTTTCAAAAGGGAAGGGATTAAGTAGAAAACGCATCTCAGTAAATCTTAAGAAATACATAGTGTGCCAGCAGTGAGCTAGAGTGAGCCAAGTTCTGTCTTAGCTTCAGTCAGGTCCAACCCGACCGTGAGCTCTTGGGGATCTCATCCAGCTTCTGATCCAACAATTCCTGTCTATACAATGGGAAGGCTGAATTTGAGGAATGCGGGTCCCTTCCCTCCCTACTCTGCCCTGTCTATGTAATTTTGTCAACCATCAAACTTGGCCAGAAGAGTATCTCTTTATTCCGTCAAATGCAGATGGAGGGGTTGGGGAATTTTGCAGGATGATGATTGTAATTCTCACACCAAATGAAAACAACTATTATTTAACCTGAAAAATACAAAATTGTGTCCAGCAAGCCTCAAACCACAAAGTGATTACAGCCCAACTTGAAATATCTTAGTTCCCAGGGAAAAACTTTCATCTGGTTCTCCTCAAAGAATCAAGGAAATAGAAAAGTCAAGCACTGCAGTCAGATGAAACTGGGATGACCAGTTATGGGTTGAGATTCTAGACAGGCAGCTCTGTCCCCTGAGACCAACAACAGCACATATGCCCAACTCAAAGGCCCACTTGATCAGTTTGTGTCCTGGTTGCTCCACTTCCCTCCCATCCAGCTATATGCTTGTAGTCTAAGAAAGCAGTGGAGGATGGCCCAGAGCTTTGGGACCCTGTACCCAACATGGGAGACCTGGAGGAAGCACCTGATTTCAGTTCAGTACAGCTCCAGCCACTGCTGCCATTTGTGGAGTGAACCTTTTTCTCTATAAATTGCCTTTAATAAATATGTATAAATCTTTTAAAAAAAAAGTAACAAGAGTCTTTCTACCTAAAAACTATTCATATTTGTCTAATAAGTGAGCCTTCTGCAGTCCACTTGGCTACATAGGGTTGGTTACCTTTTAATGTCAAGAGAATCTGAACATCAGACAGAAAAAGTAAATACTTCCTCCCTCACAACAAAAGATGGGTAGCTTAAAAAAAACCATGTGCTCTGACATCTCAGGAAAATTTCCTGCGGCCCGCTTAAACACCACTCCTCTGTATTGTTTCTAAGTTTTTAATTCTTATTTGACCTTCCCAAATTAATTCCAAAGATGTTTTATTTGTTCAGTCACACAGCAGCCCCTTTCTTTATATACTCATCCTTCCCTTCTTAAGAGGTGCCTCGCCCACTTTTCTCACTTCAGGGAGCAGCCAGGCTGCTCACACCTGCTTGAGGCTCACGCTACTTCCAGACACAACCAACGGACAGACCAAGAATAAAGCCTTCTTGGGGACCAAATGTGGCTGACCATCCTCCCTGCCATTCAGGTCGTGGCTTGTTCTGCTCTAGGGCCTCTGCCAGGCTGTACTGCTGCGGAGACAGCTCAGATGCCTGGGGGCTCAGCGCTCTGGCTCAGGGAGAGGGCATGCTTGCAGGCACTCTTCACTTCAGATGAAGCCAACACTGTCCAGCGCTGTGACTTTTCTTCACTCTCCATGTTCAGAGTCCTAATATTGTCAAAACCAAAAATCAAACAACATAGACATGCACAGAGTCTGCATTCAAGAAAGATGCTGTCCCTAAAATAGGAGGGAACTGGTTCTTGTGATAGTGGGAAAAAAAATTAGATACTTCAAAGTCTTAACAATGCTCTAAACTCAATCCCAGTCAACATCATCTTGTTGCTTTGTGCTAAATCTAGTGGGGGCTGGGAAGCAATTAGGAGAAATGTCTAGAATTACTCCGAGGGAAGGCAGTAAGCAAAACAGGGTTGAGAAACATTGAGATAACACAAAACCAGCACGTCTCTCTTCACTCCTCTCCTCACGACCACACTCCCTCGGGAAGCTGACTCTGCCTTCAGCCAGTTCTCTATCCGTGGGCGTCAGGGTTCATGCTATGTAAGACAGACCTGGGGAGATCCCCTTAAAAACACAGCCCCGCGGGCCTGTCTTCTTCACAGGAAAGGGAGACACTAGATCAGATAAAAGCTGTAGCTTGCCAAATGCTGAGGTCTGAGAAATTCCCTCTCAGGATCCTCCGAAGGGGAGGGCGAGCTTCCAAACCAGCCCAACAACTGACCCGAAAGCACAACTCCTGCACTGTTGGTGCACTTCTTGCTGAAAGCAGGCGGCATGCGGCCAAGGTGCGACTCCGGAACAAGACAGGGCACACCTGGCGGCAGGCAGCTACATGCAGCCACAAAGTTGGCCCTATCAGAGGGCTGGGGTTCCAGTCCCTGCTCAACTCCAACGTGGAGCTTTCAGCTAAAGGGCACCCTGGGAGGCAGCAGGTGCAAATGGCTCAAGGACTTGAGTCCCTGTCACCCCTGTAGGAGACCTGAACAGAGTGTCTAACTCCCAGTTTTAGCCTGGCCCAGCCCTGGTTCTTTTGGGTCTTTGGGGGAGTGAATCAGCAAATGAAAGAT